GGTTTTTGTACTCAGTATCGGCAAGTACTAAGATCCAAGTATCGGTATCGTATCGGTTTGAAAAAATTGGTATCGTTGCATCCCTAATAAAAATGATTAAAAAAAATAACGATTAAAAACCCTGAAAACCATAAATTTCACACCTGAGCCTCAACTCTTGCGGCCCGGTACCAAACGACTCACGGACAGGTACTGGGGCTGGAGGCCGCTGTTCTAAAGAACTGACTGAATCTGAGTGTGGTACTGTAAGAGGATGCCACTGTTGTAACAAGTAACAGATCACATAAAGTTAAAGAGCTCCAGACCTCCTCTGGCATTAACATCAGCACAAAATCTGTGTGCTGGGAGCTTCAAGGCATGGGTGGTACTCCCATAGGTGAAGGCAGCTTGTTTCCATATCATTTAACTTGAAAAAATGACACAAACAACAACTAAAAGCCTGTGGCTTTTCATCTTTATGAATAAGAAATCTGAGTGTCTGTGGTCGGCTCTGAGCTTCAACAGAGAGGAACAGTAGCTAACGTTAGCTTAAGTTTGCTTCATTTACAAAGGTGTCACTAACAAAAATGGGTTCTCTGAGGGTACACAGAGTATAATTAAATAAACAATTAATTTCAAAAGATGTGTGAAATGTTGCCAAGCTGTTAAAACATAGCAAGTATTCAGAAGTCATTAAACAAACCATGCACTATGTTACCTAAATACAATCCTCCAGTTGCTGTGAGGAAATGTTTTGATGAATATCACTGCTCGTGTGATTAGAAACACTATGCTGGACAACAGTAAAAAGCTGCAGAGCCTCGGTTGAAAAGCTTTTACATGCTCTGCTAGAGACATGAATTCAGGAAGCAGCTCAGTCATCAATCTCAGTTGTGTCCTTGTTTTATTGCAAATCTGTTTGGCGTGTCAAAAGATACGCAATGGTGTGTGTTTTCTCATAAATTCACAGAAACAAGATGACTAATGAGGAAAAGGCCATGCATCCAGGATGTGAAGACATTTCTTTTTAATCCGCAGGCAGCCTGAAAGGAGACACGGAATGATAAC